CCCTATCTGTGAGGCGCAACGCTTTGGTGCGTGTGAACTGTCGCCTGGGAAACCAGCCGGAAAAAAATAGAGATAATTCCGGGTTATGTATGGGAGTCTGATATCTTTATAGCGCCCCTACCCGTTCTCGCCCATTAGTTGTGATCAAGATTTCGTGAGTAATTTACAGGTTAGCTAGTGTCAGCAGTTATTTTAGTTTCTTTTTTATGTCATGGAATACTGCGAGAGACGACAGTGCAGAATGTCAATTAATGGCATTTATGATAATGTTGTTATAATTGATTCAGTGACAATGGAGCTATTGTCATTTCAAACCAGCAAATACCTCATTGTCTATTTGCTTGTATTTTGATGGAACATCGTGGATGGCACTGTACTAGTAGCAGTGATAATAATGATGATAATGATAACAATAATAATAATGATGATAATAATGGTAATAATAATAATGGTGATGGTGATGATGATGACAATAATAATGATGATAGGATAATAATCATCACCATAATTATAATATTGATAATAGTGATGATAATAATAGTAGTAATAGTAGTAGTAGTATTGATAATAATAATAATAATTATTATCATTATTATTATTATAGTAATAATGATAATGATAATAATAATAATAGTAATGATGATGATAATTATAATGATACTATTGATAATGATACTATTATTATAATAATAATAATAACAACAGCGGTAAATATGAGAATATCCAAAATGATAATGATGATAGTAGTATTAATAATGATAACGATAATGATAATGCAAATCATAATGATGATAGTAATGATGATAATAATAAGAATGATGATAATAATGACGATGATGATGATGACTCCCACACTTCGGATTCCTTTAAATCCCAGTGAGTCATTTTAAGAAGAATAACTAAAAATTCCCTCCCTCGCTTCCCCCAACCCCATCTACCCCGCGCCATCATTCATCCACACCCCCGCCCATACCCCCAGCACCTACGCCCATTTGTGCCGTGTCGAGGGAAGGCCGCTTGGCAGCTGTCCTTCCTCGTCCCATCCTCCTGTCTCTAAATCTGCGACTGCTCTGAAGCCGAATCAAACATATTAGTCTTTATGGACTGGTGTGAGAGTGGCGAAAGTCCTTCATAATGCCCGTAGGAAATGAGCCCTCTGGATGCGATTTATAGCACCACTGCTGGTCGCCGACCTCATTAGATCCCAGGACATCAAACGTGCCATGATTTGTTTACCTTTTGGTTCCATCTGTGACACACTCCACTCTAGCCTCGCCATAACTATTTGTCTGATTTACTTTTAACATTTATTATGGGTTCAGAGAAAGATGCTGAGTGCAGTTCAGGTCCCGATCAAATGATTTACGCCAACTGTTTTGCCGCGTTTGTCCAACCTCTGGTTTGTAAAAACGCTTTAAAAACGAACGATGAAATCTATTGCCGTTTGTTCACAGGAGAAACAATCGGAAATTCTGACTGTAACAGGGATCTGAAGATCTCCCTCAAGAAACTTTACCGTTGCAGTGAACCACACAGATGAGGTGGGTGGCAGTCCTGGCAGTGGCGAGTGCGGTGGCCCTCTGCGGGTCCCACGTGCTAAATACCGATGGCCAAGGGGAGCTGTGGGCGGTGCTGGTGGCCGGCTCCGCAACGTGGATGAATTACCGCCACCAAGTAGGTCTCCGAAGCGTATGAGTTGATTTGCAGATGAGAATATATCTATCCCTCCATCTAGCGAAGTAGGTTTTTAGGAAAATCAACTAATTGGTATATGAATTACTGGTTGTTAAGCTATGCTCATTCCCATACCTCATTCGAAAGACTTAATTACTGAAGAGTTACGAAGTGACCCTCGCCCTCAGGCGGACGTGTGTCACGCCTACCAGATCCTCCACCAGCACGGCGTCCCGGACGACCACATCATCGTCATGATGGAGGACGACATCGCCAACAGCAGGGAGTAAGTTGCAGTTATTCGCTGGATATAATAATGTTGAGGCTGTTACCTCTCTTGCCTTAGAAAGAGTGGAAGATTCGTAATAATAGCTCGGACGTCTCACCCAAACTCTCAGGAACCCGACGCCCGGCGTGGTCATCAACCGCCCCGACGGACCCAACGTGTACGAGGGCGTCCCCAAGGACTACACCGGCATGGATGTCACTCCTGAAAACTTCCTGAAGGTCCTTAGCGGCGACGCCGCAGGACTCCAGGGCGTCGGGTCCGGGAAGGTCCTCAAGAGCGGCCCCAACGACCGCGTGTTCGTCAACCTGGTAGACCACGGGGCGCCCGGCATCTTCGGGTTCCCGCGCAGCTTCCTCCACGCTCGAAACTTCTCCGACGCCATCTTGGCCATGCATCGCAACAAGCAGTTCAAGGAGGTCGGTGGAGGGCCGTTGCGAGCGTTTAATATTCGCTGATATTTATATGAACGTAATTTTCTTATAGATCCTGCGTTATTGTTTTTTTAGACATTTTTTTCACTTATAGGCAAAAAATAATCGAGCTTCTGAATTTCCTGATTCTCTGTGAATGAAAACACAAATGCAGTTCATTTTTCATTTCTTCCGATACATCTTTAAGGAATCTTAATGATCTTTTCTAGATGGTGATTTATCTCGAAGCATGTGAGTCTGGTTCGATGTTCCAAAATCTTCTTCCTAATGACATTGATGGTAAGAATGCAAACTCGTGTCTGTTTTTCTCATGAATGTCACTCTCTCTGCAATCTATTAGAAAATTCCTTACCTAAGAAAAAAAATATTTCACCTTCATTCACGTTCTTTAGACATTTCGCTTTCGAGTTTCTATATGATTCCCGTACTAAAGTTTAATATTTTAGTTTCAAACATAATAACTTTAAACTAGTCAGTCCTTCCTCTAAGGATTGCAGTAAGTGTTATCTATGTAAAAGCTGAAACGAATATCCATCCGTAACATTTCCCCGGAGACACATGAGCCTATATCTTTTCTAAAGTATATCTCACCGACGTATATTTGCCAAACTAATTTCAACATCTAAAAAAAAGTGAAAATACCCATAGCACCACATCATTCTTACCCTACCTCCCTCCTCCTTCAACCAAGTGTATGCCCTGTCTGCTGCCAACGCGACACAACCATCCTACGCCTGCTACATGGACGAGCACCTCCACACCTTCCTCGGAGACGTGTTCAGCATCAAGTGGATGGAGGACACAGATAGGGTAAGGGACATCAGCAGATCCCATTAAACTGAGTCGCTGTTTGTCTGGATATTATTTATATGCGGGGTGTGGGGTTAGTAGATGATGAGATTAATATTAGATTATTTCATTTCATTTCCGCTATGATATATCCATCATCTTTCTGCATCTACGATCTCCTCTTCCTCTGATAAAGAAGTCCGGAAGGTCTTCTTTTGATCGCCTCAAAAGCTATGCTATTTCCTTCATTTCTGAAAAAAACTCGAATCGTGGTTCGCTGAAGCAAAGGTTTGGTTTTAGGGAAAAGAAAAAAGACTCTTGCTGCCAGATCGGGTTCATAGGGAGGACAATGAAGCACTTCGATGTATGTCATGGACAAAAGCTGCTACAGTGATAGTGCAGATGTGCTGCCGTAATAACTTAATGAAAGATGTGTTTATGAATACCATTAATGTTGACTGTTTTTTTCCACGCAAGTCGAATACAGTCATTCCTGTACCATTCGCGTAATCTGAAATTGATTTATAAATAGATAAATAGATGAATAAATACATATCTTTTAAAATGGTCAAGGGAAGTGTCCTCAACTAGTTATCCGACTTCGACCTAAAATCCAAAACAAAAACCTTCCGTCGCCGCAGGAGGACATCACGAAGGAGAGTCTGGAGAAGCAGTTCCATCTGGTGGAGAAAGAGGTAAACGTCTCCCAGGTGATGCAGTGGGGGAACAAGACGATGGCCCAGGAAATGGCGTCCAACTTCCTCGGCAGCAAAGAGTCGGAGCTAAGCGACTTCGGTCCTTTCCCGCCCTTCAATGATCCTTGTCTGGTGGGTGTAAAATGCGTTTATTCTATCTGTTATTGAAAAGAGAAAATTCGACGTTAGTAACTGGTGTTATGTAAGAAGTACATTCAAACTTTCTGTTTTTTAAAAGCTAAGTGTGAATATTTGTGGGTTATGTCTATGAACGTGTATTAACAAAGTAAGGAATCATCTCGTAATTCTGTTTGAACCCAGAAAACGTCGATCGACAGCACCAACGTCTCCGTCGCCATTATCCAGGGGCGCATGGACGCCGCCCAGAACGAGACAGAAGCCAGTTATTGGGCCCAACAAATGGTCCAGCTCCAGCAGGTCGTGGTTTACACTTTTCTTATGCCTATATTAATCTTTTACCTCCCCCCCCCCTTCTTATAAGCATTAACCAGATGCTCGGGTTTCCTATAGTATGTTTAGACTTCCATCCTGTTTTTTTTTGTTTTTTGTTTTTTGTATCTCTCGCTTTTAGATCTGAACTCAACTATCCTATTTTCACCATTTGAAAAAAATAATAATCTTAAAATTTCGCAGAACCGCACGTGGGTGACCGAGACCATGTACCGGGTGGCGCTGAGCGTGACGGGAAGCGAGGACGCGGCGACCGGAATGATGAGCGATCGTCGTCACGCCGTCACTCGCTGGCTGTGTTACGAGGAATCCGTCGAGGCCTTCCACCGGCATTGCTTTAACCTGGGGGAGGTGGGTGGGGGTGGATATGTGTGTATGCGTCTCTCTGTGCTATTACCCCTTATTCATAAACGGAGAAATAGCACGGGCATCATACCTCGTTGTCTCCTTTCCAGAATCCTTATGCTCTGCGCGTCCTTCAGCCGGCGATGAACCTGTGCGAACACGGGTACACGGGCGCCGAGTTCGCCAGCGCCGCTCGGGAAGTCTGCACGCATGCCTCCGTTTCGGGCATCGTCTGAACATGTCAGTCATAACTTGACAGAAGGGCTTGACTGCAGTGAAGGGCTTGGTGAATGTAAATTAGAACTA